GCATCCATGCTGACCCCTTTCAATTGGTTTTCTCCCACCTTATGAAGACTTACTTTGTTTCAGCAGGTCCCTGGAACTATAGGCCCCTTGGGGATTAGCACCTAAACTACCATATGGGGTAAACCCACATCACACATAAGAACAGTATATTTCAGACCTGGGCAAAGTGCGGCCCAAGGGCCACATACAGCCTGCAAGCCGCCCCTGTCCAGCCCGCTGGTCGTTGCTCCAGTCCGGTGTTCAAGCACTTGTTCAAGCCCAAGACAGACTGGATTTCTCTTACTGAACAAGTTGAACATCAAAACCATTTATAGCTTTTTGTCTGAAGTTGATTAGTTGCTTATCTTTAACATAGCTCAAAAAACCTCTTTAGTATTTGTGAAGATTAACAAGTTTAAAATAAAAACAATCATAACATCACTGTTTCATTTTCTTTTTAAGTAAAGTTGGTTCGGCCCCTGAACACAGTTCAGATTTTTCATGTGGTTCCCTATAGAAATTAATTGCTCGCCCCGATATATTTCTTGGTAAATGCCTCCTCATGCTTATGTTACATATGGAGAACAGTTAATGTAAGAATAGTCCTGCCTGTTCTTAGTGTAAAAATAAGTGCAGAATGAACTCAGGCTTGCCTGACCAATTAAAAACAATAAAAAGGGCTTTTTTTAGTTATGCCTGAAGCAAAAGGAAGAACAAGAAAATGATAGGGTCGCTGTGTGGAGAAGATGGCCAACTAACAGAGGACAGGGAAAAGATTGAACTTCTCAACACCTTCTTTGTCTCAGTTTTCTCCAGAAAGGAAAACAGTGCTCGACCTGAGGGGCGAAGAGCAGGTGATGTCGTGGGGGAAATGCAGCACAGAATAGGTAGAGAAGTAGTACAGGAATACCTGGCTACTCTAAACGAATTCAAGTCTCCAGGGCCAGACAAATTACATCCTAGGATATTAAAAGAACTGGCAGAAGTAATTTCAGAACTATTGGCATTAATATTTGAGAATTCTTGGAGAACAGAAGTCCCCACAGACTGGAGGAGGGCCTATGTTGTCCCTATCTTCAAAAAAGGGGAAAAAGAAGACCCAAAAATGTATCGCCCAGTCAGCCTGACATCAATTCCTGGAAAAATTTTGGGGAGCAGATCATTAAACAGACAATTTCTTATTACTTAGAAAGCAATGCTGTCATCACTAAAAAATCAACACGTGTGTGTTTAGTCGTTTAGTCGTGTCCGACTCTTCATGACCCCATGGACCAGATCCCCTTCATGGATTGCTGCCTTGTTGTGGCGAAGGGGCTTGTCAGCCTGACATCAATTCCTGGAAAAATTTTGGGGAGCAGATCATTAAACAGACAATTTCTTATTACTTAGAAAGCAATGCTGTCATCACTAAAAAATCAACACGTGTGTGTTTAGTCGTTTAGTCGTGTCCGACTCTTCATGACCCCATGGACCAGATCCCCTTCATGGATTGCTGCCTTGTTGTGGCGAAGGGGCTTGAGTAACTCAGAGAAGCTATGGGCTATGCCGTGCAGGGACACCCAAGACGGACAGGACATAGTGGAGAGTTCTGACTAAACGCAATCCACCTGGAGTAGGAACTGGCAATGCCACTCCAGTATCTTTGCCAAGAACGCCCCATGATCAGAAATAAAAAATCAACACAGGTTTCTCAAAAAGAAGTAATGTCAGACTAATTTGATCTCTTTTTTCGATAGAGTTACAGGCCTGATAGATGATAGGCTGTGGATGTAGCATACTGTATCTTGATTTGAGTAAGGCCTTTGACAAAGTTCCCCATGATATTCTTGCAAGGAAGCTAGTAAAATGTGGGGTAGCCAGTGCTACTGTTTGGTGGATTTGTAATTGGTTGACTGACCAAACCCAAAGTGTGCTCACCGATGGCTTCTCTTCATCCTGGAGAGAGGTGACTAGTGGGTTCTGTTCTGGGCCCTGTGCTATTCAACATCTTTATCAAAGACTTGAATGAAGGAATAGAGAGTATGCTGATTAAATCTGCAGGTGATACCTTTTTTGGGGTGGTTGCTAATTCCCCAGAGGACAGGATTAAAATTCAAACTGACCTTGACAGATTAGAGTCCTGGGCCAAAACTAACAAAATGAATTTCAACGTGGAGAAATCTAAGGATCTACAGCTAGGCAGAAAAAATTAACTGCACATATACAGGATGGAAGACACCTGGCTAGACCACAGTACCTGTGAAAGGGATCTAGGAGTCTTGGTAGATCACAAGCTGAACACGAGTCAGCAGTCTGATGCGGCTGCCAAGAAAGCCAATCCAATTCTTGGTTGCATCAACAGTAGTGGCTAGATCAAGGGCATTGATAATACCACTCTATTCTACTTTGGTCAGACCTCACCTGGAGTATTGTGTCCAGTTCTGGACACCTCAATTCAACAAGGATGTTGACAACCTGGAACGTGTGCAGAGGAGGGCGACCAAAATGGTCAAAGGTCTGGAAGCCATGTCCTATGAGGAGCAGCTTAGGGAGCTGGGAATGTTTAGCCTTACGAAAAGAAGGTTAAGATGGGACATGATAGCTATGTTTAAATATCTGAAGAGATGGCATGGCGAGGAAGGGACAGGTTTGTTTTCCACAGCTCCAGACGCTAGGACAAGGAGCAATAATTTCAAATTACAGGAAAAGAGATTCCACCTGAATCTCAGGAATCTCTTCCTGACAGTCAGAGCTGGTTGGCCATGGGATATGCTGCCTTAGAGTGTGGTGGAGTCTTTTTCTTTGGAGGTTTTTAAGCAGAGGCTGGATGGCCATCTGTTGGAATTGCTTTGATGGAGTTCCTGCATGGCAGGGGGTTGGACCCGATGGCCCCTGTGGTCTCTTCCAACTCTGTGATTTTATGTCTCTACGTCTGGGGTCCAGTTATTTTGGCCACTTAAAAAACAGAAGCTTTTGTTCTGAATACTTATTAGCAGCTCCCTGTGTAACCTGTTAATGCAGTTAGGTTAAAATTCACAATGTTAACTGTATTCACCAGGTTCTACCCCTCACTTTTTTTGGCCACCAAAATACTTCTTTTTCTATACATGTCATATGCTCAGTCCCATGCTTTGCAGCTGTTGTTTGGCTTACGATACACATCTTCTCAGGATAAATCAATCTTTTACCTATCTAATATATTTTCAAGTTCACACAGAAGTTACTTGTCACTATTGGTAAGAGAACCCAGCCTCCAGTATGTTCAGGGTAGTTTCACATATTACAAAACATCTATATAAGAAGCAAATACAATATGTTTAGCCATATGTAACAATGGCAGCTGAAAGTGTGTTCCCCACTCCAGTGTGAACAAATACATACAAACAGTTACTAGCTATGGCTTCTGAACACAAAAACAATGAAAAACCATGTATGCAATAGCTGCATACCACTACGTGCAAGCTGCACTATATGTCCTCCAAACAATGACCTTTCATTCAGAAACCTGGTGACAGTGATCAGATAGCTTCCCTGAAATTTGCGATTAACACCCTTCCTTTCAGATTACAAGTGGGCAGTCAGAAATACAACTGAATAATTCGTTTACTTTAGATTTCCAAAGGATACTTTCTCCAGAACTACAATACTAAGCATATAATAGATAGGAAATTACAGTGGTGCCTTGCTTAGCGATGTTAATCTGTTCCATGAAAAACGTCGCTAAGTGATTTTAAAAAGCCCATAGGAATGCATTAAAACGTGTTTAATGCGTTCCTATGGGCTTAAAAACTGACCTTATGTGAAGATCCTCCATAGGGGCAGCCATTTTCGGTGCCTCTAAAGCGAGGCAAAACAGTGGGTGGCCATTTTGTTTTTCCGGCGGCCATTTTGGAACTGCCGATCAGCTGTGCAAAAAGGGTCACTTTGCCATGATGGCTTCCCCATGATCATCGCAAAGCGATTTTTCCCCATAGGGGCGATCGCTCTGGCGATGGCCAAAACCCCATCGATCAGCGATTTCATCGCTCAATGGAGCGATCGCTAAGCGAGGCACCACTGTATTTCTCACACAAACATAAAAGTCTCAATAGACCATATATAATAGGAATCATTTTGCACTCTTGTATAAACTTCAACAGAGAAAACTGGATTGCAGAATTTTTCAAAACCATCAACAATTCCTGTAAGATCACTGTTTTATAATTTTGAATAATTTTGCAATGCACTGACAGGTACTTGAAATCCTTTTGACCTAGAACGTTCTGTTAGTCAGAGGGCTGCCAACTAAAAATATTTTTGGGAAATGTCATCATATACTACACATAGATCACCAATATCATTTTTGCAGATGCTATTCAGGTATGGGTTGACTATGTAGACTATATCCTGTAGGTCAAGTTAAAGGTTAGAGTTTTTACAGTGAAATGTATTAGTACCAAACACGCCTCAAAAGCTTTTGGTACAGCTGAGTGGATCATCACTGTACACATGTTAATTAACCTTCCCTTTGCATCCTGGAGTATTGCTTTGGCTATCCCATAAAGGACTGCAACAAATGTCTAAGAAATAGTGTGTTTTCATAGTCTGTATCACGTGTCCTAATGAAATGTACTGACTTTTATTTGGTTATGACATATTACAAGGCTTTGCATCTAATTTCACAACTCTGTATTTACCATCTAACATCAGTGTTTAACATATACTATAAAGTTGTGTCTTACTTTAAAAGATCATATAATGTTCAGGAGATTCCAGTAATGTGTAGATACTTCACTTTCTTTTAAAAAGACATTTTTCTACTTGTTTCTTTGAGTAACAAGTAGAAAAATTTACTGTAGGATTACAGTAAATTTATATATGACTAACATCTTTAAAAGAAACAAAACTGGTACCATCACGTAATATATTAGTTTGCTTGCATGACTGAGAAAGAAAAAAATCTAATGCAAATTTACCACAGAAAATCACAGTCTGTCCAGATATAACAAGCTACCAAAAAATAATAATAATAATAATCATTTAGAATGATCTCATGCACCTACCTGAACTGGCTCCTCCAAAACCCCACTGCAGATGGGGCATATAAGATCTTCATCAACATCCCCTTGAAAGCGTGCTACATCATACCCCATTTCTCATCACCAGTGCCAAAACCCTGAAATTGGTGGTGGGGGGGGAAGGCAAATAGAAAAACGATGAACAGTTCAGCAGATAACATTTGTGCACTTTCCACAAACAACACCAGTACATTCAGCGCTCTGCTTCTGCGGAGTCACTTAAAAGCCGTTCTGGCTAGGCTGCTTGTCTGCCTACTAACTCAATAAGGCTGCATTCTGGGATTCAACACAGGCTCCAAGTCCCTTTAGAGCAGGGGTGTGGTACAGTACAGAGCAGAGAGAACAACTTGACACGGCACATTTCTGTGCACTGAATTACTCCAGTTTTACTTGCCCGCTAGCATCAAATTAGACAGACACTTCCTTCCAAAATAACACTATTACTCATCTCTTCACTTGCATGTTTTTATTTCCACACCTCACTTGTTCCTTGCATAAATGCCAGCAATGAGTGTCTAGGTTTCATATCAAATTACAGAGCATGTATGGGTGTGGGGCAAGAGTTCTATAACTAGAATAGCTGATAGCAGTTCAGCAAGACACGTTACAGGTACCTTTCAAGTCTTACTGAAAGAGCAGAGGTGCTACTCAAGCCAGTTCGAACCATGAGGAGGAGGTGCCTTCCTCTGAGGCAGGTAATGCTGGCACATCCCTGCATTATGATTTTGGGCCAATCATTCTTGAAGTAGATACACAGTACAACTACATTAGTACATTTTGCTAATTAGAAGAAAGCACATCCAGTCTCATGACAGCATTTTACTTTTTGTATCACATGGCTGGGAATGGCTGGCATCAGAGTTGATATAAAGTAACGATTTTTAAAAATCAAACTGATTTAAATCATGATTTACATAAAAAAATTATTTAAATCATTAAAAATTTCAATTTTTACAATTTAACTCATGATTTAAATAAATTTGATTTAAATAAAGTCCACCTTGACTGGCATACAGGCTTCCCTATGAACAGACCCTAGCATGAATTTTCAGTTAGTTACACAACATGCTGTAACCTAGTGGTTCCCAACCATTTTTGAGTCATGATTTCGTTTTATAATAGTAATGTGTGACCCCCCACGTCATATTTGCATAAATAAGCTGTTGTCATTGTTCCCTGACATGGCGACACCCTTGATGTTGCTGTTACAGTACTTGCTCTCCTACTGTTCATGCCACCAACTCTGCCATCATCACTTCAAAACAGAGGCATGAAAAGGCTGGAAGAGGCTAAAGGTGGGGAGAACGGATGGCAAAGGACTTCGAAGATGGGCCAGGGAGTGAAAGGACATTGTGGTACTCAGGGAGGGGGCAAAACCTTCAAGCAGAGAGGATCCCTCTCAGAAACTGGCACTAAGCTTCCCTTGAACCCATTGCAGAAAAGGGGAAGCACTGTGTTCTCCTCCCGGAGATTTGCTGCCTGTGTGGGGCTTCTTTTTTCTTTTCCTCTCCTTCCTTAGGCTCTTTGGAAGTGACACGTCATAGTTAAAATCCCTTTCTTGTGGAAGTGGCAGAAATTATAACTTTACACTGTCATTTCTTTTCTCTTTTTCCCCCTTCTTTGTTAAAAATAATCCCAGTCATCCCTTCTTAGAAAGTATTTGTATCCAAAGCGACACACTATCTAGCCATAACACATATAAGACAACCTGCAACCTCCCAAAAAAGACTATGCAACCCCCTTGGAATTGGGAAACTGATCTAGCCAAATCCATCTTCCAGACTGCAATAACTGGATTGCAATAACTGGTGCCCCGCATGACAATGACCCCGCAGAGTGACGAAATCACATGACTACGAGTTTTTTGCGATCGCTATAGCGATCGCAAAACGATGTTTCCTATGGGGGATTTTCACTTAACGACAATTAGGTCCTTGCTTCGCGAACAGTTTGTTTGCAAAACGACGATTTTTCCAGCTCCACAAAATGGCTGCCCTGTGTTTTCCGGACCCATGCTTCGAAGGGCAGCCATTTTAACAGCTGATCGGCGCTCAGAAAATGGCTCCCCCTATGGGCAATCTTCGCTGGACGACGAGGTAGTTTCCCCACTGGAACGCATTAAATGGGTTTCAATGCATTCCAATGGGGAATTGTTTTTCGCTGGACGACGTTTTCACTTAACAGCGATTTCAGGGGAATGGATTATCGTCGTGGTGCGGGGCACCACTGTACCATGCTCATTCTCAAACCATAAGCCATCAGCTTGCCCCCCTGAAAAAAGACTGCTGTGATAAAAACCCCAAAAGACTGTCTATTAAGTTTAATTTTGTTGAGGGTGCTGACTTATTCTGAGTCAAATCACTAGCCTGCTCAGCTCAGTACTGGTTGGTAATGGATCTCTAGCATTTCCAACGGAATATATCTAATCACTACACAGTTGAACCTGGGATCTTTTGTTTAAAAAAACCACCACATGCTCTACACTGAGATGCAGATGTTAACTGCATATCAACTAACCCTAGCACAGTCACAAACCAAGATGGATTTTCCTACATAATTACTGAGGGAGCACAAGATCCTCACTGGCCATCTCTCATAATCCAAGCTATGTTGTTGTTATATGCCATCAAGCCAGAAATGAATTATAGTGACCAATAGGACTTTCAAAGTGGGTGAAATATTGAACAAATGGTTTTAACAGTTCTACTTCCCCAGTGAGTTTCCATGGCAGAGGTCGCATTTGAACCCAGATCTCCTGAGTCCTAGTCAGTCACTCTATCCACTACACCAACTGGGTATCCCAAGCTATAGCCTTCCAAAAATGGATATTCTGAATTTCCTTCTCCTCCAGTCCCACAACCTCCATTTTGTTCACTCACAAGTATTCTGATGCAGTGCAAGATCTTCTAAGAGTACTACAAACTATTTCCAGTGCTTACTTAGTCTTAAGAAAACACTCTTAGACCATGTGTCTGGGTCAAGACAAGGGACAATCTTTAGAGTAAGGGCTACTGCCTGTCAACTTCTTTATAATCCCCAAGAGAAACACACAGCTAGCACTAAAACCACCTTCACCTAAAGCTAGGTAAGGTGACTTGCAGTGTTTCTGGAATACTTCAAAAGCAAACCTTGCTCATTTTTGCTCAGACAAGAACCATCTTCCAGAGGAAGAGAGCTGATGAGCCTACATTATGCTCTTCATTCAAGTGAGCTCATATAGCAGTCTGAATTATGACATCAAAAGATGTCTAGCTTTTATCCATCTGCAAAATGCACTCCTATTGGCCAAAAGGATTTTAGTTTTATGATTCTAAACTAATGGGACATATATAATACCCTGAACTAGCAACAATTCAATTATAGGATCACAACTGTTATAGAAAGCAATATTCAGAGATAAACACAAAAACCCAGAAATTTCAAAGCACATCAAATGAGAACACAGTTTTCATTTGATAGACACCCCTTCAAAAAGTGACTCACCCAAGTCCAGAAAGCTTATTTCAATACTAGTCCACATTATCAATTTAGCAACATGATCACCAGTTTAGTTTGTCTCTTGTAGTAACTAATGTACAGTTGATAATCAGCAATTGGAAAGTTTGATCCACAGAAGTGACTATTTTTCATACTAGATACCTGCATTAAGAATAAGAGGGAACTTTCCTAATAAGATGGCCATGGCTTGCTCCTTAAAGATCAGCTTCAACATTGAGAAAAATTCCTGCTACGTTTCTCTATCTAACACACTTGAATGTTGACAAAGATAAACTCTGAGAGTTCACCTTGTGAATGAATGAATTAATGAATGTACATACATACATACATACATACATACATACATACATACATACATACATACATACATACATACATACATACATACATACACACACACAAGCACGCACGCACGCACACACGCACGGTTTTCTCCTTAAAAAGAACAGGTGATGTCTTACATCATTAAAAAACAATATTTAAAAGTGAAAACAATGAGTATACTGTACAACTGTTACAAAGGATCAGATAAACTCTATGAGATATGATAACAAAAGCAATACTAATGCCCTCTTCTTGTGTCCCCACCAAATGCACTTGTGAAGGTTTTGGGACTGAGAGAAAGGCCTCTCCAGATGATCTTAACACTCAAGCAGGCTCATAATGGGAGACAGAATATCTGAGAAAACTTGGACCCAAGCTGTTTAGCAGCAACCCCCAAGCTGCACACTTGTGTTTTCAGAGGGAGTGTAACCCCATCAAGCATACGCTGCATCCCTATTCCTTAATCTGCCTTTCGACTGACCAGAAGCATCTCTGTAATTCTGGATTGTTTCAGTTTATTCACCCTCATCCAGTCCATTACTGATAACAGAGACTGTTCTAGTGTTGAAACAGCTTCCTCAGATTTAGATGGCAAGGAGAGGTACAGCTGGGTGTCATCATCATACTGGTGATACTGAATCCTCAAACTCTGGCCAACCTCTTCCAGAGGTTGGGACCCCACAGGCCAGCAGTCAGCGTGTTGAACAGGAATCCCCTAGCAGCACCTTCTGGGTTCTCTCCTCCAGGAAGGACTAGAGCAGTGGTTCTTAACCTTTGTTACTCAGGTGTTTTTGAACTGCAACTCCCAGGAACACCAGCCAGCACAGCTGATGGTGAAGGCTTCTGGGAGTTGCAGTCCAAAAATATCTGAGTAACAAAGGTTAAGAACCAGTGGACTAGAGCACTGTACAACAGTGCCTCCAAGTTCCATCCTAGAGAGAAGGGCCAGAAGGATATCATAGTCAATGGTATCAAAAGCCACAGACAGGCCCAGCAGAATCCAAAAAGGTCACATCCTTATAGGCCAGATGGGCGGGGTATAAATCAAATAAATAAATAAATAAATAAATAAATAAAAATCCCCCTATCCAGTTCCCAGTGTAGGTCATCCACCAAGGTGACCAAAGTAGTCTCCATCCCATAACCAGGCCTGAAAGGAGAAGGCACACACAAAATAGTGGCACAATTAAGCTCTGTAATATACAACTCACAGTCAAGCAATATTTTCTGTCTGGAACAATCTGTCTGGAAAGCTGAAACTGCTACAGTCCACAGC